AGGATTTTGATTCTCGGTGGTAGTTGCAACATGAACTGAGAATTCAGCTATTTCAACCAAAAAATCGCTCGAATTTGAATGAAAATTCTGCAAATTATGTGCAGAAAGTATTTGGGATGTTATCTCCGTTAAGCAACCATAGGAGCCAGTGCTCTATACAATCCGTGCTTATTCATTGCACTCTCTTGGAATAGCACAAAACCATCCATATTGTGAAATTACTTTAAAATTTTTCTCTTCACCTTTGCCACTTCAAACTCTGGAACACTGCAGTTCAGAATTTTTTAAGATGTAACTTAAAGCATGGGTCGTAATTATAAAAATCATTATAAGTTTTGTAACAGTGCTCATAGATAATAAGCTAATGCTTTTCTACGCATAATCGCATTTTTTTTTTCAAGTGATCATGACCGGTCTTCTTTTTCTTCGGCGATGAGCACTTCCCAGAAACTCAGCTAACTATGTCCAAACTCCTGACATGATACGGAACGTTACAAAATGATGAATTTTTTGCAAACAAATTAGAGGCTCGTGAGAGACGATACACATGAGAAGAAACACTCATTCTATAAACTACACTTCAGTTAAAAATAGCCGCGTCATATAAAGAGTATCTTTCTTTCCAATAGTTTTTCCTTGTACTTCCTCCGTTTCACGAGATACAACATCTTGTGGCTGTCACTTAAACATAACTTCAATACGCCTTCAACTATATAACGTTGTGAAAACATAAAGAACAATGTGTCAGATTCACAAAATATTCCTCAATATTTTCCTTAATTGATCGAGAAATTTGCGAGCAGGTATAGTTTTTCTGTGGCATCATTGCATAAGAATTAATGAGTTGCCACAGTCAATGTAAACTTTCAAACTCATCCTATTCTTACAACTATTTCACCTAACGTCTGTAACAAGAAAATATAGCACGTTGTGGTACTTAGTCTGCTTGTTCACACCACACAGCTACAACCAATCTTTGAGTAACAAGCGCCAGCTCTTCATAGTAATCACGAAGTTCAGTATTAGATTTCGACTGTGTTCTATGTCTTGTTTCCTGTTTTGATTGTTGAAATGAACTAGTCGTAATCGCTTAGAGACTGAGTTGTTGGGTAAAAGCAATCGCTACAATGAGCTCTATACTACTTTGCTTGATCGCATGTCATCTACTAAAAGGAAGTTCACAGCCTAAATGTGGTTCTTCTGCAGATGTCTATGCGATGAGTATTGCTCTAGAAAAAGAGTATGTCCGTTCGGTATACTCACGTCTTGCTACATATCAGAAAAAGGATCATCGTCCATCATCTTTAAGAGTTTGGCCGAAAGTGCGCAATTTCGTGGAGTCTCAAACATATGGCAGCGTCGTTATTGATGTCGGTAAGTGCAGCCATATTGTAAATAGGGAAGACCTCCTCAATTTAGGATCCTTATTGACTTGATTGACACTTACATTAACATTTAGGCTGTGGTGAGGCCAAGTACACTTCTTCTACGTCATTAGTCCTTGGAATTGATACATGTGCTGATGCGCTTGTAGGAAGGCGTAGACGTAAGGCCGAACATCTTGATCTTCTGCTTGGTGACGCATTGTCGCTTCCCTTTCGGTACTTTCACTGATGATAATAATTTTTAATTAAGAGTAACCTACTATTCAGTGATTATAATGGCAGATTTCGAAGTTTTGACTCAAAATTCAAAACAAATTTGACTACCTCCTATATATCGTAAACTACTACTTAAAAGCTGGTATAAGCTTGACTGCATGCGCGAAATAAGAAGTTAATTATCTCAGGGACAATACCGCTGATGCGATACTGAACGTTTCTGTTTTACATCATATATCGACAGTAGAACGAAGAAGAGTAGCTTTAGAAGGTAAAAGGAGATTTTCACTTCAATTTCTTTCTCGCCTTTCACTTTTCTCTGGTCTTTCTGATTTTCAGTGTAAATGTCTTAAATTTTATATGATTTCATGCAATTCAGAGTGTGGCAGATGTTTGCGACCAGGAGGACAAATGTTGATATATGTATGGGCGTTTGAACAACCGAACGGTACATTTCCTTCGCAAGATCTTCTCGTACCTTGGAACCTCAACGAGATACCTCTAAATGGTTAGTGATACTTCTTGTCAATCCATCTGTATCATTTCCTACAAAACACCATAAAAA